TTTTTTGTTTGTTAACCTCTGGTGCCTAGTAGGGGAATTTTTACCTTATTATAGGGTAATTCCCTTTAATTCCCTTTCATATATGTTCATGTGTGTGTCTTTTAGGAAGCTCCAACAGTAGTAGGTTTACATATGACTTTTTCAAAATTCCTTTAGTATTTCTTACCTCTCCCCATATCCTCTCTTAGATCCTGCCCTCTCATAACCTACCCCAATTTAGCCCTTCCTGTTCCATTCTTCCCCTTTAACCATTTATTCCACCATCTTATATATCCCCTCCAGGAAAGAACCCCCCAACTCCTAGCTAATTTTCTGAATTCTATGGGTATGCTAAGTAAAACGTGTTATTTCTGAAGATTCAAAGCTAGCATCCATAAACAAGAGACAAGGTGTGAAGTTTGTCTTTCTAGGTCTAGGTTATCTCACTCAGAATTAGTATTTCCAGTTCTATCTGTTCACCTGCAAATGTCATAATTTTGTTTTAGCTATGTCTTATGCTGTAGCTCTTCTCAGTCCCTAGATCTATCCCTGCCTCAGGTGCCACAAAACCTTATTTATATACTTCTTGCCAGAACATCTGGGCTCTGCACTGGGGTGGTAATCACTGTAGCATCTTAGTATTTTCTGAATTGCCTTCCATCTGTCACATTCAGAACAACTTTAGGATTATGTTCTCTATTCTATGTTAGTGTCTTCAAAACTTAATTTATATTTGAAACCTCTCAATTGAACTCTATCCATGACTTTTCTTTTCATTTCTCCAACCTGGCTCTGTCCTGTATTTTAGGGATATACCATCCTCTATGTTCTTGACACAGCATTCAGCATTGAACATTCAATGTAAATAAAGAAATCCTCTTTTCTTACTGCCCTGTAATAGGATTCATCTCTCTGATAGCCAAACTCAGGAACCTACAAGATTTCAATCCTAGACATTCTACTAACTGGCTTTGGGACTCCTGTTACTATGGTTCCAACTATCTTCCTGTGTAAGACTAGGGTGAAAATAGCAATAATAACAAACTTACTTCATGTTCAATTTGTTAGAGTTTAACTAGGCACTTGGGTCAATGCCCAGCACCTACTGTCTATTCAACAAATTCCTTCCATTATTTTCTGTTTGGTTGCTAAGTCCTTCTTCATAGCCTCCTTAGAGTCAATGTTGTAGATTGATACAAATCCTTGGGAATTTACTCTCTGCAACCTATTTGGCCAGAAGCTGCCCAGTGAGGATTCTAAAATACCATCTTATTTATTGTTTAGAAATCCCTCAGTAGTCACTATTATTTTCAAATACAGTAGAAACTTTCATGATGTTGACATTCAGAGCCATAAAGGAACAATCACTGGTTTCAATTTTCAGCCCTCCACTCCTACTATTTAACTCTTAGCTGTAGGTAAATTTGATTTCCAGCTTTTTCCTAATATTCTGCTTTGCTTTAACCCTTAGCCTCTACATTAACTAATAACTGCACTTATGATATAAGAGACAAAATAATATTTTGACTTTTTAAAAACACTATCTCAGTTGTCCTTACAATTTCTACAAAGTAGTGACTATGACATGTCTGTTTTCTAGGCAAGGAAAGGAGACCTAAAAAGGGTGAGCAATTAGCCAAGAAAGATCAGTCTCTTGACACTAACCATTTTCACCATGCACAAACATACTAAATGTCTTTACCTGCGAGATTTGCTCCCTGGTACTAACCTTCTTGATACTCATCTATTATCCAAAAATTCCTTAAAAATGACATTTCTAAGCCGGGTGTTGGTGGCTCGCGCCCACTCATCTATTATCCAAAAATTCCTTAAAAATGACATTTCTAAGCCGGGTATTGGTGGCGCGCGCCCTTAATCCCAGCACTTGGGAGGCAGAGGCAGGCGGGGGTTTTTTTTTTATGGTGGGTTC